GGCCTGATAAGGAGGAATGCTGCTCACTTCATAGGAGCCAAGGAGTAAACAGAGGAGGGAAGAACCAGGAAGGAAGACATGACTCTCAGCTCATTCTCCCATGACCACCCTCTTCTGACCAGACTCCACCACCTAGCAAGTCATTTATAATGCCCACACAATCAAATGATTTTCCGAAAGCCCATCTCTGAAACAAATGAGTACTCTGGGGAACACTGTAGATCCAACCAAATGACATCCATTTCCCTTCTTGGTCTTGGGAAAGTTTCAGCTATTATTTTCAAACATTCTCCTCCTCCTCCTCCTTCACCATCACTTCCTCCTCATCCACCTCTTTCTCCTTTTCCTCCTTCTCCACCACTGCCTCCTCTTTTTCTTTCTTCTTCTTATTCCTCTTCTTTTCTTCCTCCTTCTCTTCTACCTCATTCTCCTTCTTCCCTTCCCCTCCCTCCTCTCCTTTCCATTATAAGATTCAAAAATGTATGTTGATCTGCTTGATGATGCCTCATAAGTCCTTTGAGATTTCTTTACCCTTTTTGATTATTTTTTTGTCTTCTCATTAGATAATTTTAACTTATCTTTTTAAATTAAGCCTATTGGAATATTTTAGATATGCATAATAATCATATTCAACAGAAGGAATTTATATCCATCCATGATACATTTGATTCCTCTTTCTTTCCCAGTCCCCTCTCTTCCCTTACATTTGTCTTCCCCTGTTTCACTACAAAGCTTTGCTTCCATTTTATCCTTTTTTAATAGCTTTTTTCCTTTTCCCTTCCTTGCTTTCTCCCTTCCCCAACATAGTTTGTCTTTCCTTCTGAATAACTACTTTCTCTTTCACAATATCTATTGCACATTTTGATCCTTTTTCACTGTTTCTGTAGCTCATACCAGGAAGACAATATGATGTTTACATGTGAGTCCAATTTATTTCACTTAAGAGTGTGACCTCCGGGTGCATCCACTGGCCTAGAAATGCCTCAGCTTTGTCCTTCTTTATGGTGAAGTACTGCATTTGAATTCATTATTCTTCTCTGTTTGAACAAGTCTGCCTTTGAAACTTTCTAGTGATTTTTTTCAGTTCATGTATTAATTTCTTCAGCTCCAGGAGCCCCTTTTATAGTCTAATCTCTATTGATAATTTTAATGTGCTCATACAATAAATTTCCTGATTTCATTATCTATCATTGCACTCTCATAATTGATCTTTAAGACAATTATTTAGAATTTTTGTTAACCAAATTTTAAAATTCTATTTCTTTAGGATATATCACTGAAAGTTTATTTTGCTTATTTCTTTGTATCTTGTTTTCCTGCTTCCTCATGATCCTCGTAGCTCTGTGTTTTGAAGAATCAGCTACCTCTCCTGTCTTTCCGTCTGACTTTTAAGGAAAAGGTATTCAGCTTAATCAGCCCACCTAGCGATTTTAGGAGCTTGGCGTTTTTTTCTCTGGCTGCATCTTCTCTGGATTTATTTAAACAAATTATTAATTAGAAGTGATTCATTAGCTTCATTTTTTTCTTTCTACTTTTTTACTTTTTTGAGTATCCCATAATCACTTGATCCCTCTGGAGGTCTCCAGTGACACGGCAGACCAGGTGTTTGAGGTATTCTCTCTCTACTTTTCTTTTTTCCCTGAAGCTTGAGTCTGTGCCTTCTCCCAGTCTCAGTGAGGTGTGCTCAGTGCAGCAGGACATCTGATCTTTCCTCCATTACTGTGGCTGCTCCCGCCAGATTATGGGAATTCTGTTAGCACTGTGAGTGAAACGTGACAGAAACTGGCCTCTCGTGCAATGTCCTAAAAGGCCAGAGGTGCCAACGGCATGCTTCCCTTGTCTCTTTTTCAAGAAACAAGGCTGAGGTTGTGCTTTCCCTCAGTCTCCCAGAGATGAGCTTGCCAGAGTAAACGGTCTACACTTTTCACTTTGATCTTAACTGCTAGGTGTCTGACCCGTGCTCTTTGTGTCAGTGCTTCATGTAAAGCAAGGCAGAAACATGCTGAGCAATGGGTTAAAAGGCCGTAGACTCTGGCAGCGCGTTCCCATCTTTCGCAGCACTGTAGCAAGAGAAAACTTGGATTCTTCCGCTGCTCTTAATCTCGCACAGCTGCGCCAACAGTATGAAACTCTTGTCCTTTTTACTTGAGCCTAACTGCTCCCAAGCATCTGAGCTATGTTTCTCTCAGTGCTGTGCAAGGTGAGACAGAAACCAGTCCCTTGGCTGTTCAAAGGCCAGGAATGTTGGAGGGACTTTCCACTCTCTGTCCCCTGAGATCTCGAGAAGTCATGGACCCTGGTACTCTCCCTTTACCAAACCGTGTCACCTTTGGGAAAGTGATGTTGCAAAGTGAAATTGCTCTTCGTATCCATTTCAGCATGGCTTTTTAACATTTTGTGCTCAACTTGAGTATTGTAGCTATTAGCTCCATTCCAAGGTACTCATTGATTTATATATTGTTGAATTGGCTTTATTGTGGGGATTGGAGACTGGGATTTCCTATTTTAACATCTTGCTGATGTCACCCTCATCATTAAGAATATTATTTAAAGAGAGAAAAATCACTGATTGCAGTTCTCACAGAATGGGAAGGGGAATTAAATTCTAGGAAACAGTGAGTAAAAGAGCAATTAACTCCCTTTGCTGTGGCCCTGAGAGACCATATTTCATAATATTGGGAAGGAGTTAATGTTAGAAGTTGAAATGCCAGGCATTGTTTTGTGAAAATCAACAATGGCTACACAAACACCCAGCTGGGTAAAGAGCCTTCGGTACCACAGGGAGATAAACAAATGTAACTCTTTTAAGTAACTAGAATAGATATGTGATACTGTGGACGATAAAAGAAACAGCTGACATTTAAATGAAAACAGGCAGGATGTTTGGCAGCAGTGAATCAGTTTTGGCACCAGGGAAATGCAGAAAATATAGACCTGTTATATATTAACACTAGGCCCATTGGGTCACAGATCCCACAGACCTATGACAACAATCAGCGTTCCCAGATTTGTTGTCTCGTGAATAATTAAACCATTCTTTTGGGTACCCTGACCCTCCCTTTCTCTTTTTTATTCCTCCCATAACTGTTGTAGCCACGACCCAAACAGGTCAGTGAGTCTCCATGTGAGCCACTTTTGAAAAGCAAAGCCAGAAAAATACTCTGCAAGAGACCTGTCCAAAATTGGAGCCTCTCGCTTATAGCTTGATGACTAATAAACACACTTCCCACACTACTTCAGGAAAACTGCTATCATACATTTTTGATCACAGTTACACATTTGACCTAAGCACTGCTCCAAAAGTATCCATTCTGGTCATCAAAGATTGTCCAATTATGAGGCAACCATCAATGATTTTTGATTTGCACTGAAAATAGTGTCCATCATGATCTTTATCATATCAAGCTAGAGCACAGATAAAATATATTACACACAGCATGAACTTGTGTCACAGTCTGGTAAACAAAAGAAAACATCTGATTTTGGCATCAGACAAAACTAGATTTGATCTTAGTTTTATGATTTTGTGTTACCTTGGGTGAATTTTTTTCAGACTTTGCACTGCAGGTTAATAACTGCTGTGTTCAGCACAGCTCTTGACATTCTCAGGTGAAGGACAGTGGAGGATGAAGGGATAAAGAAAAGAGTCAGAATGTAGAAAGCTGAGGTCAAGTGGAGTCCTCTCTCCAGATGGGAGGAAAGGAACTTCTCAACCACAGCATGTTTGTTTATACACTTGGCGGGTTGATGGCACGCGACACCTTGGCTTTTCTCAGGCCGCCTGATTCTCTGAGAAGCTTGTTCCCATGACTGACCTTGGGTGCTTTTTGATCCGGAATATTCTTGCTCCAGCCCCACACATGTGATCGATCTCCAGCTTCAGCTGCCCTCCCCCCACAGCTAACTATCATATAAGGTAGGATATCACATTTAGTGAAATAAGATACATTAAGAACTTTGCTGAATATCTGACACATGGTAGGAACTGAAACTATGTTGATTATCATCCTAATTTTATTATCATTATTATCTATTACCCTTTCTCCTATATAGATTGTAGTGCCTGGAGAAAAAAAATCATATTGCATAGGGATTTATGACCATCACGATATCAGGAAAGCACAATTGAACACGTGAATAAATGATCTCTGTGCATGAGGACATCTATAGAGAAACGTTGGTTCAGAGCTGTGGCTTCCATTATTGAGGAGATACAAAAACTGAAAAATGTTTAGTTTATTCTTCCTCCTGGCATCTCCTACAATAATAGATTATGATTGGTATGTTTAGAAATTACCCAAATTATAGCAATGACAATTGCACGTTAATACCATTGATCTGCTTTTCCTTACAACTTTTTTTTTAACTGTTTACATTAGAGGCGTTCAACTGACCTTTGTTTGATCTCAGATAAAACTCGTGATAGTCCCAGGTTTGAGATGATGCTGGCACAAGATTTTACTTATTCACTGCATGCCATTTAGTATTCTGCCCTTCTAAGCATCTTATTTTAGAATCAACCATATGGAATTTTGATGCGAAGGCTTATCTTAATTCTGAGCTATCTGATAGCAGAGTAATTACTACAAAACCATCAAGTATCGCCAAACAATTTGCATCTCCTTGGGGAGTAATTTTCCTACAGGACAAATAGCAGTTGTCAAAGGACTAAGAATAATTTTGTTTACAAGCACAGATTTAGAAACCACTAAACAAGTATGAACGTGCACTGGAGATGTGACTTTTACTCTTAAGTATCTGACTTTAAATCATCATGCTTTAAGTGCTTGCAATAGAACACAAAAAGCATTTCAGCTCTTCAGATAAATAGCAGAGAAATGGGCCTCCATGGTTCTTCTCAACCCATTAATGGGAATATATGATAAAAGCTCACATTTGTTCTTACCATCTTGGTTCTAAAATTACTCAGCACCAGAAAAAGATTAGTTTTCCTTAAATTAATTCAATTTAATTCAAACCAATTCAATAACCATGGATCAGTCACTTTTTAATGAAGACACTATGCATAAACCTTAGAAGTCCATTTTTTTCTTTTCACAATCTTTTAATTTTTTTGCCTGTCACAGTGCAGCAAGACACCAAAACACTGATGTGCACACTTTTGACAGCGGATATTTACTCAGCTGCTCAGCTCCCTTTCTCACATGAGATACTTTAGATTGAAAATTTCAATTTATTGCTTGAAAATCTCAATTTATTCCATCATGAACACCAACAGGGTTATTCTGTTTGACTTTGTAGAAATAATCTTTGATACTATCAACATTATGAGTTTGTCCATTAACAAATTATCCTACTAGAAACAGCATAAAAGATGTATCTCATCAGAGTTGGTGATGTTACCGAAGCTGCATTTTCATTATAGTTTCCTCCCCTGAAATTGCCTGCAAAAAATAAAATAAATTAATATAAATTAATATTTAAATTGGTATAAAATGTTTTGATGTTTCAGATTTTAGACAGATCTAATGTTCATCACCACCTTAGTAAATAGAACTTTAAAAGCTCATCTAGGTATCTCTTAGTCCTTCAGTTTTTTACTTGTCTATGGTTTTGTGGTTTACAAATCGATTAAAACACCACTATGCTTCTCTAGATGACTTTTCCAGGAATTTATGTACTTTGTCAGACTGAAGCTACATTGCAATAGTTCTAGAAATAAAGCTGAATTGGATATGTTCATATTCCCTGATGACTTTTAACAGCTAACTATTTATCTGAGCTTACATGATGTTGTCAGTAAAACTGTTACCTGAGATGAAGGATCACCTACTCCAGAGGAAGAGGAAGAGGATATAATGTAATTATTTAACTGATAGTTAGATGTGTTTTTCCTTATCTAGTATAATGCTGTATCTGATAGTGAGAAGACCATATTTTATATTTCTAAGACCAGGAATTTAAAATGATCATTAGGAAAAATATCTGTCTACTCAATACTGGATAGAGATACACTCCTTTTTCAGATAAATAAGTAGATAAATGAATAGGTCATTTATATGTCGAGTCCCAAAAAAACTGAAAATTGTCAAGATAAAAAAATCATAATTACTTATTTCATAAATACATTCCAATCATATTTATAATAAGATTAAGATGATTTTGAATTAACCAAACATTTTTGCAATCTCCATTTGCCGAAAACTAAAGCTAGACCCATGTCTATCACCATGTACTAAATTAAAATCTAAATGGGTCAAAGATCTGAATATTAAAACAGAAACACTAAATCTATTGGAAGACAAATTAGGTAGAAACCTTGGAGACACAGGAGTAGGTAAAGAATTCATGAACAGGACTCAAACCGCACAGGAAATACTTCCCAGAATCAATAACTGGGACCATTTCTTATTAAAAAGTTTCTGCATGTCAAAAGAAATCTCCAGCATAGTGAAAAGAAAACCCACAAACTGGGAAAAGATTTTAGTGAACTCTCTCTCAGACAAGGGCCTCTTGTCTAAAACATATAAAGAATTAAAAAAATTCAGACCTCCAAAATTCAAAGATCCAATCCAAAAATGGGCATCTGAGATGAATACGCAATTCTCAGATGAAGAAATGCAAATGGCAAATAAATACATGAGAAAATGCTCGTCATCATTGGTCAGAGAAATGCAAATTAAAACCACACTGAGATACCATCTCACTCCTGAAAGAATGGCCAGGATCAAGAAAACCAACAACAAATGCTGGAGAGGCTGTGGGGAAAAAGGAACTCTCCTGCACTGCTGGTGGGAGTGTAGACTGGTACAGCCTTTGTGGAGATCTGTCTGGAGATTTCTCAAAAAGTTGGGACTGGAAATCCCATTTATTCCAGCTATTCCACTTCTAGGCATATTCCCAGAAGAACTGAAAGCATCATACCACAGTGATATATGTGCACCTATGTTTATAGCAGCACAATTTGTAATTGCCAGATCTTGGATACAACCCAAGTGTCCATCAACTGAGGAATGGATAAAAAAGTTGTGGTATTTCTATACAATGGAGTATTATTTCAGCTATAAAGAAGGATCACATTGAGATATTTATCAATAAATGGGCGCAGCTTGAGACCATACTCATAAGTGAAATAAATCAATCTCGCATGTGTGAATACCGAATAGTTTTCCTAATGTAAGTAATGATTCAAATATATAAAAATATGTGGTAATCATGATTCCCCATTAGGTGGCCTTGAAGCCTTATAAAGTTTTCACTCATTAATTAGAAAGGCTTTATTCTGGGCTTCTTGATATGGAAATATTTGAAGCTATAGTATATGAAGTTTTATCCAAATATTTCAAGGAAAAAGACAGACACTATGGTAACTACTATTAAGTCGGGTTATATGGTGGTGAAGTACTTGGTTGCTGAAACAGTCATGCTTTGACCTCTATTGTTATATTGTTATGTCCTGTTTTATCTCAATCTTCCCCTTATTCTTTTTAAAAAAATTATTGTTTAGTCATTTCTTATGTTTGTCTTAAGGGAAAAAATTTTAAAAATTAGGATATATAAATAGTAACTCTTTTTGATTTCCTATTAACTTGTTTTGAAGTCCTGTAATACTCCCACGATCTTGTTTTGACTGATTAGACTGTTCCATTCTGTATGATAGTATCAAGTTTGAGGATATAGGCATCTACTTTGAAGGCAATAAGATTCACTAAGATGCCCATTCTGGTTTGACTATTGTCTTCTTTGGAAGTCCTGTAATGTTTACAATGCCTAAGTTTTATTGGTCTTGTTCTCTACTGTTTTGTCCAACTTTATAATATCTAATGAGATAGACAATTCTTTTTAAGGAAACAAGAGACAACGTTGATAACCATTGTTGATAACCTTGTACTCTGTTCTACACCATGTGCTATGTCTATCCTTGGTTTTGACTGACAGCTTTGTTTTGCCATATTTGACTGTATTCTCTCCCCCCCAAAAAAGTAATAAGCACTAAGGAGTAATAAAATCCAAAATGTGTAATTTTTGTTGTAAAAAAGAGAGGGAAAAAAAAAGAAAAAGAGCTCTAACGGATATAACAACAAGTGTGCTTAGGGGTGTTAAATAGCTGAATATAACAATGTTTTTGGATCATTGAACACAGCTGTTTGCAGTCTCCCTGTTTGAATGTCCACCTTGTATTCTTTGATACTGTGATTTGAGCAACTATTTTCAAGATGATAATATGTAATCTATTAACAGGTGATTTCTTACTGTTATGTTTTTTTTTTTTTGTAGTTCTGTATTACGTGTACCCTTACACTGCTTTGTTTTGTTTTGTGTTTTTCTTTTTTTCCTCTTAAATAAAATTAAAAAAAATTAGTGAGGTTGTATGATCTCTATTGTGATTATCGTCACTGTCAACTGCAATCAAACTTCTATCAATTGTAAAAATGTCTCAGATGGAATGAATGTGCCATGGTACTCGCAATTCATTTATTATATAGAGACAGAGTTAAAATGAAGGCCATTTTTTCTCCTCCTCTTTCTCTCATCCACTAATCTGACAATGAAAAGAAAAATCTCTTTATTCCCAATGAAATTAATTTTCTATGTTTTTTCTAGTTTAGGAAATCCTATATATCCATTTCTTGATCAATGTTTTTGCTGTTATTTGGTCCTAAATATTTAGAGATATTTACTCTATGATGTTTGTTCACTCTCCTTATAATCATCACAGCAAGCTAGGATCATGCTATTGAAAGTAATATTTTATTAGAACATTATCTTATAAGTACTCAGAAACTATTGTTACAGTTTCATTTATCTGAAAAACCACCTTAACAAGAAAGAAAAAAAGACCTATAGGACAGTGCTGATTTTAACATTCATATTTTGATGCTGAATTCTAAAATATTGTTCATTATATACTTTCATAGGTAAAAATGTTCTTTCAAATGTATTCCAAAGCAATCACAAAATACTAAAATTTTAAATGAAGAAAAAGAGGCAGTTCATTAAGTAGCTCCATGGGAACCACTATAAGAAATTACAGGGCCAATGTGAAGCAGCACAAAGACTGAAAAATGGACAGATATGCCAGGTCAAACCTCTGCTGCATAACACTGAACAAGACACATTCTTTCTGTGCCTTTAGCTCAATTATGGAACACACAGTCTGAATGTGCTGGACATTTTCTACCTTGATAGTTCTATCATTGAAAAAGAAGTGGAAATTGCTTAACTATAAAATGTTCCTTTCCTATCACAGGTATTTTTTTTAAAGTAAAGAAAATATGATGAAATAGAGGACTGTATTTTTCACTGAAAATTTATTGCAATAGATTACGCCGTTGGCTTTATACACCTCCATGGTTGATGAGAAAGGACGAGGGAGACACTGATATCACCTGTCTTCTGGTTGTGTACCAGCTGGGCATTAAGGGGAGAGACCTACACACAAGACTTGCCTGAACCTGACAGCTCAAGAACAGCAGTGACCTTCAATAGAATAGGTGTGTGACACAGTCCTGCATGGAGCAAACCTGGCTCCAAGGTGAACCCAAGAAGGATATGGATGACAATTTTCTTTCTCTGGATGTTTTGAAGTCACATCTCCAGATGGCTAAGGGAAGCATCAGGCATGTGAATAATAATGAATGCTTATGGCCATGCTAATAAGGATGCATTCTGTTGGAGTGTACTTTGTGTGCTAGAAGAGCGGGAACTGAGATTCCAAGAATTCAGAAACAGAAAAAGAAATTCAGTCACTGAATAATATTTGAAGATACGTCTTTTCACTCCCCACTTCGCACAAAGGCAAAGTTTACATCTATCACTGAGAGAAGAAACATATTGACAACCACATATTATTCAGGTTGGATTCTTCCTTAACGACATAAAATTGCTAGAGTACTTGGTTTGGAAATAGAGTCCACAGAAAAGGGCAAAACAGTGGTGCTGTAGAACATAGTGAGTCATGGAAATTCTTTAAAATACTGGTCTATAAATAATTGTAAATTTTTAAAAATGAAACATGTGTCACTTCCTATGCAGCCTCAACATCACTCTAGTGTCTTAATAGGGTGTGATTAATAGACAGATGATTTATCTGAAGCCACCACTGTACTAACCAGCTCTTCCATTCTTTGGACAAAATACCTAAAATATAGAGTTTTAAAATGAAGAAGTTTATTTTGGTGTATGGTTTCAGAGGTTTTGGTCCATGGTTGGGTAGCTCCAAAGAAAAAATAACATAATGGAAGAGCATACCAGAGGTAAGCTGCTTACCTCATGGTAAGCAAGAATCAGAGCAGGAAATACCCTGAGAAGAATGGATTTGGGGACCAAATATAGCACCCAAAGTCACATCCCCATGAACTACCCAAACACAGGAAAAAGTGAGCATTATGAATTTCCTAGATGTCATTCAAATCAATCAAACTAATAAGATTAAGCATCACAATCATCTAGATAGAATAGTAAGTAAAATATCTATTAAAAGAATAATGTCAAGAGAATTGCCCTGTCTAATATTAAAATAAACTCTTTTTTTTTTTTTTTTTTTTTTTTTTTTTTGGTCTTTTTGAGACAGGATCTCGCTATTCAGTGTAAGCTAGCCTTGGGCTCAAACTTGCAGTGATCCTTCTGCCTCAGCCTCTAGTGCTGGGATTACACAGTGTGCCACCATGCCGGGCTTAACATACATTCTTAAAGCTGCAGTATTAAATTTTTTACATCAGTACTAATGTCAAAATTGACAGATCACTGGAAGAAATTGATAGTTTAAAAACTGATCTTAATATGTGTGAAAATGTACTATATGGTAAATGTATTGATTATGCAAAGGTAAATCATTACTTTTTGCAGTCTTGAAATAATTCACACATAAGAAATATATATTAGAAAACATAGCTGAAAATAATAAAAGTTCTCTTATTTGCAAAGTTGAACTTTGGAAAAATTAAAGGTATCATCCAGATGTTGAAAATTAAAGCAAAGCTAAATAATGCAGATTGGCATAGCAACTGAAGTGGGCTATTACCTGAATCTGATTGCAGACCTGAGAAAACGTAAGGTGTTGTTTTCGTTTACACAGAAAGACAAGAGGTCAAGCTGTGGGGCCATTTTTGGTGACACTGAAACATGAGGGAATCATGTAAGTCTAGGAATTTTGATAGTTACACCTTCAGAAAAAGATGGGTTAGAAAAAATCAGTCGCTTAGCACAGAAATAAAACAAGAACTTTGTTAGATTTCCCCAGAGCTCTGGATAAGAACATCCTTCATAGAGCATTTGCAATTACCAAACTACTATCATAGACATTCTTACTTTCTGGTAAACCTCAGAAAGGCAGACAACATAATAAAAAGTGACTCCTGCACACCCATGTTCAAAATGCAGTATTTCCAGTAATCAAGAGGTAAAAGCCACCCATATGTCCTTGGATTAACAAATGGATAAAGAAAATGTGATATGTACAAATAAAAGTATTTTTAGCCTTAAAAAAGAGAAAATTATGAGGCATGCTCTAATGAGATCAAAACTTAAAGACATCATGCTAATGAAATAAAGCACTTAGATAAAGATAAATACTTTACCACTCCACTTATAGGAAAGCATCGGAAGTGGTCAAATGTGTAGATACAGAAACAGACTGGTGGTTGCCAGAGCTGGAAGCTGGAGGGTGGAAGTGTGCAAAGTGGAATTGTTTAGTGGACACAGTTTCAGTTTTGTACTAGGAAAAATTCAACAGTGTAAATATAGTGAATAATTTAGAGTTGTACACTTAACTGAATTAAAATGGAAACTTTTATGGTATTTATTTCAATCATGGTTTTTTATAAGTGAGAAAGATGTGACAGTTTTAGAACAGCAGAAGTGTCAGGAACAAATCATTTAATGCTTTTGAGAAGAATGACCCCTAAACACAGCCCGAAAGCCCCAGAAATATAAATCCCAGATGAGCCAAACCTTATATATTGTTTTTTTGTAGTGGAAACTGAATTCAGGACTTTGCACCTGCTAGGCGGATGCTTTGCCACTGAGCTATATCTCTGGCCCAGAAGCTCATAATTTATAATTATAAATATAAGAAATATAAGAAAGAGTAAGCAAAATAACTTGTATAATATATAATTTAATGTATGTAAAAAACAACAGAAAAGTAAATACAATAAAATAATAGTAAAACTAGTAACTACAAATGATGAAACAGATAAAATGAAATGCCTAAAAAGTTATGGACAAAAATAAAACACAGAAAACTGAAAGACAGGTTTATAAAAGCTAAGCAATTTAAATAATAACTTCTAGACATGAATTATATTATAATTAAAGTTTAAAATTCATGATCTTAATAGAATAATGTATTATTAAAGAATTTGAATATTAATCTGAAGAACATTTCAGAAAATAGGACAAAACTCAAAAAGACCTAAAATAAGGAACTAATTAAAAAGCAAGGATAAAACAAAGACTCACACACATTCAGTTAAGTTAGAAGGTGAAATCAGAGAGAACTGAGAAAAGGTGACATGATCAAATAACTACTAAGAATTTCTTCACAATTGATGAAGCAATTAATATTCTAATTCAAAAAGAACAACACAATAGTGTAATATCAGAATACTAAAGACAGTGAGTACAGGATAGTTCTCTGGTTGGCCTCCTCCACCTCCAATTTCTTATTGAAGTTCTCCATAATAATTACATGTGGCATCCCATGATAAAGGAAGAGCTGGTGAGGATAGTCTAAACTCTGTTCTAGGCCTCCAATTAAGAAATCCTGCAGGAATGTAGACCAGTGTGTTCTGTTATCCCAAGATACACGATCTAGGGAGGGTGCCCTTTAGGGTCCCTCAGCTGCGCCGCAAATGCAGCATCTGTGATCAAGACTTCATCCCTAGTAGCTTTCCTGAGCCTCAGAGGGTATAGTTCACATTGACCTTAGGCTTCTGTTATCTTTCACTGCTTGTCTATAAGAAATAAAGCCCCTTCATGTAGCCTGTTGCATATGAGAGTATTTTGCTCAAAACTCAGTCAAGTTGGTAAGCAGTGAAGATTTAACCTCTTCACAAAGAGATTGTAAAGGCACAAGAGAGAAAAAATATACAAAATAATATGTCAACAGGACTGTTCCTACTTATAGCAGTAAAATCCATGATGTAGTGAAATTATACTTTTAAATTTTGACAGAAATTATTGGACTGTATTTATATTCCAAGATAAATTATTCAAAATGGCAATATAAAGACATTTTCAGATAAATAAAAACTAAGATGGCTCCCAACCAATAATTAGCTCACTGAAGACACACTAAATAATAAACTTGAAGAAGTGCATTGAAACCAGAACATATGAGATGCTAGAAAAATGACAATAAAGTAGGTAAATTGGTCAGTAAAACTTTTTCTAGGAAGCTTAGTCTTCTTCTTCATTTCTTTCTAGTTATCTTTTATTTTAGTCTCGTGGAATTCCACTTTGATCAGACACATACATGTAAAATTCAATTTTACTTTTTGTTATATGCTGGAACATGGTTAACATAGTGAAGTATATTGTTGGTTTTGTTTAATGTTCCATATGCAATTTTAAAAATCTTCACTGTAGGCTCTCTATATTTAAATAGCTTGAATCTCATTAATTGTTTTCTCTAATTTCTGTATCCTTTTTGTTCTTGTGTTCTATTGGTTACTAAGAGAGGTATATGAATAACCCTGGGTCTGGACATTTGCTCATGGTGGATGTCAGTGCCAGGCAAATGTTTTCCTGCAAACACTGTAAACACTGGATACATTGCAAAGAGCACATTGAAGAGCATTTAGAAACAAGAACTGCATGACATAAAATTTTAGGAATAGACTACTGGAGCTAAAATGTTCTGGTTGTCTTCCATGAGGGCTCTTGACAGTTGCGGTTATTGGTGAAGAGCGCAGGAGACCAAAAGAGCTATACTGGAAGGACAAGGTAAAAACACAATTTTGCAGTGCTAAACTGTATCAAACTATATCAGCTATATAAAACTTCTTATAAAGATCAGAAACAAATACATTATTATGCTTTTAAGACATTTTGAACATGTGTGAAGTCAGAGTTGAAAGAGCTCAAAATCATGGAACAGAACTACATTCAGGGTGGAAGAGACAAATGTCATTAGCTCTCTGTCAAAGACCTGGCAAGGTCACATCCACAGAGAATATTGGATCATAAAGTTCTAGTGAAATTTCCTGCAATTAAGTAGCAGCATAAACTCCTAGTGATATTTGTCTGACTTTTGACCTATAAAAATAGAAGTTTAAAGAGTTTTAAATTTCAAATCCTCAAATAATTTATCTTATAAGAGGGGTATTAAATATACCTTCCAAGATTTCAAACCAAATAAATGTACAAACTGAAAAATAAAATGTAAGAAATGCAAATGACAGGAATTTCCAAAGAAATGGAAAAATTGGAGAGAAAATGGACTCTTTCTAATCAGTGGTGACAGTCTACCCTCACTAGACAGAGACCAGTATAACTCTCTGTCCACCTAATGGAGGAAGTAAGAAATATTAATTGATGAAAAATATCAACTGGGTACTTTAGGTTTTTTATATAATAAATAACACACACAGACAGAAGACAAGCAGAAATTACGGAGGCCAACAACTAATAAAAGATAAATCAGCAAGGTACATGCCATCAGCAGGACTGGCAGCAATGGGAATGAGACTCAGGGGTTGATGTTTGAGGTGAACCTGCACCGTGCCCTGGCATGCAGACATGCTGAACAGAAGTGGGTGGGCAGGGTCACCATTTTATTTCAAAAGGCTCTTGGTGAGCTCCAGTAATCGTACAATCCCAGTTACTTCACTGCCAACATCCCAGAGTGAAATGAAGGAAAAGCCATCCAGAAGCAAGCTGGCAGGTTGGAGCTGGTAGGGGGAGTTCTGCTTAGAGGGAGGAGCTGGGACCACTCCGGTGGCCACCAAAAATCAGTCTTAATTCTAATTACAAAGGACTGAAAGTGTCCCCTGATCTGAGAGTGGCCTCAGCCCTGCAGCACTGACAGGCAAGCATCCCTGGCCTGCAGCAGGACAAGGTCATCCTCCTTCCTGTGACCTGTGCATAAGAGTCTGTGTTTGAAACGGACAAGCTGTGCAAGGTCCAGTAGGAGCTGGCTGTCAATCAGTCTGGCAATAAAACTTGGCTTTTCCCACCCAAGGGCAGCACATCCACTGAAAGAGTCCTTCAGAGACAGTCACGGTGCAGAGAAGTGGACATCCAGAATACTGTCTGCGTAAGAGCAGTCCCAGCCCCTCTATCCAGAGGCTGATATCAGTCCCATATCCGGCACAAATCCTACTGAAAACTTGGCAGGATTACACAGCACATTCCTGGGATCTGAGTTGGACACTGTCATAGAAATGTGGCCACCAGAGGAATTTTATTATTTTTCTTTTCTTTTGTTTGATTGGTTTTCCTTTTTCTGCCTAAGGGGGTTTTTTCTCTTTATTCTTTTTTCACTATTTAGATTTCTTGCCTTTCTTTTTGCTTTCTTCAATTTGTCATCTTTCTCTCCTTCCTCAGCTATCTCTGTTGATTTTCTCATTTTTCATGTGACTGAACATTGTATCTTTCTGGTTCACTTCAATATTCTTTCATTTTCTTTTTCATTCTTTCTCTCCAGTGTTATCCAGTTTCCCAAAACTTAGGTGATCATTAACCCTCCAACTTTGCTTTTACTGTATTTGTCTTCATTCATCTCTCTATCTTGTACCCTAACCCTCTTCAAAATCCCTCACACTGGAGTAAAATCACTCTACTAAGGGGGAAATCATGGTATACAAGGTCCTAGGACAGACTGGATATAGCTGTCTAACTTTCTTCCTATGATTAAAGATATCAGGTTAACAGTTACCACAGTCCGTCAGTAGGTAGGCTGTGCTTGAGGCTATTGTTATTGCTAATTGTGTCACTTCAGCCAGAATGTCATAACCTGTTATAGTTAGTTTTTCTTCTTTGTATGACAAAATTGTGATTGTCTGGAGTCATAACTATCACTGTTGTTAGTACCAAAGGACTGGGTATTGAACCAAATAGATAGTAACTTCTCATCCTTAATTAACTGGGAAGGGTTAGGGTTCTGTTATACAACTTCAGATCATGTCTTTTTGGTTAAATGTACCAAATCAAGACAACATAGTTTCTCAGTTTCTAGCCCATGATTGACGCTATTGTTATTGCTAATTGTACTCAGGATGTCATAACTGTTGTAATCAGTTGTTCTCCTTTATATAACAGCACTGTGACAGTCTGAGGTCATAGCCCACACCATAGTTCAGTATCGAAGGAACCCAAGGAATGGATGTTTAACCAACAGATAACATTTCATCTTTAATAAATTGGGAAAGTAAGAACTTAGTAAGATACAAAATCCAAGACCCTCTTACATACAGATGAGATCACAGATGAGAACAGGCATTTCTCAAGGAATGCCTCAAATTGATACTAGTGATAAAATTGTTTTTTGGAAGAAATTTCCAGGCATTGACACAGAAAAAGAAATTTAAAAGTACAAAATGATAAGACATAAATGCAAAACTCAGCTTCAGACCTCCAGCCCACACAGGACAAGTCCAAGGGACAATGTGGTAGAGAAAAATGAAGGTCATCAATCTGAAATTTCTGAAGTGACAGCAGCGGAGTTTCAAAAATAGTTACATGAGACTGTAGAGGAAGTTAAATAAAAAATAATCTCACCAAGGAAAAAGAAATAATGACCCCAATGAAGAGCTAACTATGTCTAGAGCAGACATAGATTTTTTAAAAATAACGGAGCATAGTAAAATGATGGAAACCATGAATACCCAACATAGGAAAAAAATGGAATCCACAGAACAGATTCAAGCAGATATCCAGGAAATTAAAAATTTCATTGAAAGTTTGCAAAACTGCATGAATGAAAGTGAAGACAGAATTTCAGACCTAGGAGGCAGAATAGAGGCTTGTGACAACAAAAGAACACTCTAAAAAATAATAAGGAACCATGGAAAAACAGTTGCAAGATGATAAAAGGAAAAATAACACAAGATAGGTTGAAAAGCAGGAGCAAGAACAAGTGACATAAAAAAAAAAACTGTTTAGAGAAGTAATGGCAGAAAACTTCCCAAATACGAAAAAAAATAATTTGATTTGCAGATAAGTGAGGCATACAGAACTCTGATTAGCCATGAACAAAATAAATCTACACCAAGGAATATGATAGTCAAAATTCTAGAAATTCAGTACAAGAGCAGCATATTAAAAGCAACTTTAGTAATGAAACAATTCACCTATAAAGGAAGTTTATCAGAATTACAGCAAACTTCTCTACACAAACGCTTAAGTCAAGGAGAGCTTGGAATAAACTATGTAACCTACAAAACTATCTAGAATCAGTGTAGAAATAAGATACTTTCATGACAAAAATAGGTGAAAAAACGTGAATTAATCAAAAAGAATAAAATCCTCAGAAACAGACCCATATATATCAAAGGTTCTGACACATTTTAACAAAGTTAGTGCTGTAAAAAAAAAGATTTCTTTTCAATTAATGATAGTCAATCAGATACCCACATGACAAAACTGTGACCCATATCTCAAAGTATCCACAAAAGTTTGAGTTAAACCATAGACTTAAACATGAAATGTGAAGTAATAAAGCATTTAGATGCAAATAACAGCTTATATTAGCAATTGTGGCTTAAAAATATTTCACTAGATCTTTGATACTCTTCCTTCAAAAAAGCAGGCTTATTCCCTAAACTTGTTTCAAATAAATAAAATGTGCTGGCAGTGACACTGTTTGTCTGCTACAGTAAGTTTTAAAGAATCAAAATAAATCTGACTTAGATGTCCTTTTTTTTCTGGGGACATGCACTTTTGCATATCTGAGCTACCTTGGAAGAATCCCATCTGTCCTGAGATATTACATTTGGAGATCATACGGAGAGACCAAATAAAGATAGGAAGCAGAATCTAAAGGACCAGGTTTGCTCCTCCAGCCCTTACCTGTCCGCGTCCTCCCACCTGTAGGAGTCTCCTATGGCTGCCGCAATAGTTACTGCAGACTTGATAGCTTAAACAAAGCACGCATTGATTCCCTTACAGTTATGAAGGTCATAAATCCAGAATCGGTTTCACTGAGCCAAAATCTAGTTTAACCAGAACCTTGCTCTCTTGATAAAGTCTAGCAATAAACTTGTTTCCTTCCCTTTCCCAGCTCTGAGAGCTGCATTCTGTGGCGTGGAGCCTCTTATTTCCCTTTAAAAACCAGCAGTATAACATCTCAAAGGGTAACATCTTCTTCAAAGTCAAGTCTCTCACTTTCTTGTAAGGACATTTATCATTGCATTTAGGCCACAATCGGATAATCTAGGATAATCTCCACATTTTAAGAACATTAGTCACCTCTGCCAAGTTTCTTTTGCCTTATATATTGTATTCAGATTCTAAGGTACTTGGAGCTAGAGATCCCTAGGAGAAGTTATTCAGCCCACTACACAAATCCAGGTGAGAGATGAGGGAAAATGCCCTTGAGGTGACCTAGCCCTAGCCACTATCTAATTACAAGCTGATGAGAATCAGGGGCTAGACCTGCCCAGTCGAATCACTAAATTCCTGAGCCACAGAAAGTGAAAGATAACATTTTTCTGTTTTATGTCACTAAGTTTTGGTAAAAATTCCTTAAATGAATTTTCCTAGGCAATATGAGAAATAAGAAAAATGCAAACGAACTTGACACAAACCTAAAATTAGTCCTTTTAAAATGTTTTACTTTGTTCTTTTTTGTTTGTTTGTTCATTTTGAGACAGCTTCTTGCTATGTAGCCCAGGCTGACCTTGAACCCAGAGTGATCCTCCTGCCTCAGCCTCCTGAGTGCTAGGATTACTGACATGTACCACCATGCCCAGCTACTTTGTTCTTAAAATATTCTTTTTATTATTTTGAATTAAATATACTTTACTAGAAAAGTATACACAAAATATATAATTTTTAAAAATAGTCTCTAGAAAAATGCAAAATTGATCATTTTGGTACTTTTACATTTTTTAAAAGTTTGATTTGGTATTTACAAGTCAGGGGCTACTGGCCACAGGATTAACTCTAGGCTCATCAACTTCTAAACCAAATCCCACCTCCTCCTTCCGTGTCTCTTTCTGAACTTTTTTTCTTGCCACTGTGGTTTATGCTTCAATATTTCTAAACCACTTCTTCACACACACAGGTCTTCACAATATTTTGTTTCACTGTAGGACACTTCTGTGCATGCCATCATTTGTTTAAAATTATCCTCCCTTTTACTATTTCATCAGACTATTTCTCTTGAAATCTCAGTTTTAAAGAAGTATATTCCATGAACACATCTGTATTTTACTATTTAATGTTGTATTGAAATGATGTTTGTATGTATGTCTTTAAACTAAAGTAGATTATAAAGGACTCATTTTTAAAATTCTTATAATCCTTGGAATTTACAAAATATATGGGATAGGGTAGATGCTTAAGAAATATTTGTAAATTGGGGATAAGTTTCAAAATGCAAGTAGAAGTGAGGGTCTGGTAAAGCATGCCCATGATATCAGTCAGGGTTTACCAGAGAAACTGATATCAGAAATTAAAGATTGGCTTACAGTAGTCAGCTACAAAGCCAGATGAGGGAGTGTGCAGAGGGTGTCTGTGCACTAAGGTTGGAGGGTCCATCCCAAGGGCTGGAGCTTACTGCAGTGTCCAGTGCAAGCCCCTATCAGGAGGTCACTGAGTCTGCAATGGAACCCTAAAGGCTGGAGAGTCCCAGGCAGAAGCCAAACAGCATGTGCCAGAAGCCAGGAGACAATGTCCAAGCCGAAGATGAAGACTGGAGCTCCTCAGAAGCAGCCCTCAGTCCTTCGTCATTTGCCTTTTAGTGTACACAGGCTGCTCCCTGCGGTTAGTGTAGGTCGGCCTTCCTCCTCTTGCACAGGCTGAGGAAGTTACAAGCTTAGGACCCTGGCCCCCTGCTGAATCACTTAGAGTTCTGACCTGCTCAGATTGACACAAGGAACAATATCCTAACTGCTTGTCCTCTACACCCCAGGATGTAGAGCTGCTGAATCACTTAGTAAAGCTTCTAGACTTCTTGACACACCACATGATTTAAGTTTCAGTCAAACACTGTCATCCTCTCTTTACGGGAGGATAATACTCTCACTACTTATTTTTAGGTGGCTTTATGTCTTTGAAGAATATTGTTCAATGTATTGCGTCTTAGTTCCTTATTTGTACTATAATCCCTGTTCTCCTCTAGCATCATGATGTAAAATCTATGTCCCTGCTATATAAAAGCATAAAACACTTTTAGATGATTAAAGTCAGTGAGCAGATCTAACTTACCTCCTCCTCTGCAGATGGTTTCACTTATTCATTTCTTATTGACGTCCTGTCCCTGCCTTTCACACTCAGATGACTATATTGGTCAGTGTTATGATCAGGAGTCATTAACAAAATAGCTGCATGTTTTTTACAGGTAAAAAATAAAAATAGAAGTAGGCTGCCTCAGTGGCACCACCAGAGATCCAAGTTACTTGAATCATCCTTAACATGTGACTTTTGTCTTCTTTCTTATTGCTGTAACATGCTTATTATAGTCACATGCTTATTACATAGCAGATCCATCTTCAGAATAGTATCTCTATTCCATACTAGAGGAGAAAAAGCAGAGTACAAAATGTATTTGCCTGTGGAATATGTTCTTTTAAAGACCTTTTTCAGGGATACAATTTTACAAATATTTGATTAATGTTTGATATAATTTGATTATATTGAGTAGTTTTAAGGCATGCTGGGAAACATTTTATCAGGGCTTATTATCTCCTGGAAAAAAAACTACAAAGAAGGGGAGGGAAATAAATGTTAATTCATTGAAACCTTGGTCCACAAACTTGATTCTTTCCACAGTTCTGGTCATATATCAATTTGGATGAGAACTGAATCAAACTCAGTGTTAAGTCCAGTGTTGCCCTTAGGGAAGATTTGATTCTGTTCTCATCCAGTTCAGTTTGTGACGGAATCATGGAGAGAACTGAATTTGTGAATGGAAGTATCACTGTATTGATAGGCAACCAGTAGTGTGTGTGTAATGAACAGAACTTTGCTAGTGACTCTTTTGATAGAAAAGCTCATAGACCAATCAATATATTCTAGAATTTTGAGTGCAACAAAATATAGACTGATCAAAACTCCTTCTATTTGTATATGGAAATTTATTAAGGTAATTGAAAGTTGGCCATATTTTTAAAGATGATTTACAACTATTATAGATTCGTGTCATTCTTTTTTTATTTAGAGAAAAAAAAGTAAAACAGAAAAAAGAGTAGACATATTACAGAATTTCAAAAACAAGAACACTAAGAAATCACTAGTTGATAAATTACATATTGTCATTTTAGAAATAGTTTTCAAGTTACAAAATCAAAGCATAAAGAGTGGACAATCAAACAATGATGGTACAAACCATTCTGTTAGATACACCAAAAAAATTTAGTAGTTTGGTTATCTATCTTACACACCTAAGCATACATACATATCCTTTAGAGCACTTTCCTTTTCTTTCATTATTACAATATCTATTATATAGTTTATATCTTATTGCTCCTTCAGTTTTTATTTTTTAACACTAGAGAGACAATAAAATAGTTACAAATGTGAGTCTGATTCATTTCACTTATAAGGATAGTTTCAACTTGTCTCCAGTTACCTATAAAGGCCTCAAAATTCTCCTTTTTAATACTTGAGTAATATTCCATTGTATAAAAATGCCACATCTTTTTCATCCACTGTGCAGTTGATGAACATTTTGATTGTTTCCAAGATTCAGCAATAATAAATTGTGCTGCTATCAACATAAGGGCACATGTATCACTGTGGCATGGCTTTTTCAATTTTTCTGGGAAAATACTAGGAGGGGAATAGATGGATTGAATGGGACTTCCAATCCTAGTTTTTGAGGAATCTTCATACTGATTTCCATAGTGGCTGCAACATCTAGTCTCCAAAAACAGTGTGGAAGTGTTTTTTCCCCAACAGACTCACCAACATTTGTTATTAGTTATTTTCTTGATGGCAGCCATTCTTTCCAGAGCGAGATAAAATCTCAATGCTGTTTTAATTTGCATTTTTGAATGACCAGTGATGAACATTTCTTCATGTATTTATTTGCCATTTGTATGTTTTCAACTGAGAAATGTGTGTTCATCTCAGATGCCCATTTTTGAAAAGGGCCTCTGAATTTGGGGGGTTTGATGTTTTTCATTCTTTATATGTTCTGGATATAAGCCCTTTGTCTGATGGGTTGCTGGCTAAAATTCTTTCCTATGCTGTGGGTTTTCTTTTCACTTTGTTGGTGATTTCTTTTTGAAGTGCAAAAACTTTTTAATAAGATGAGATCCCAGTTGTTGATTCTTTCAAGTATTCCTTGTGTGGTTTGCACTTTGTTCATGAATTCTCTGCCTACTCCTTTGTCTCCAAGATTTCTACCTACCTTGTTTTCAAGTAGATTTGGTATTTCTGTTTTAATATTTACATCTTTGATCCATTTTGACTTTAGCTTAGTGCATGGTGACAGGAATGAGTCTAGTTTCAGTCTCTGGCATGTGGAAAGCCAATTTTTCTAACACCATTTATTGAAGAGGCTATCCTTCCAGTGAACATGGTTAGCCTTTTGTCAAATCTAAGGTGGCTTTGGGTCTTTGTAGTTGTGTTTGCATTTTCTAATTTGTTCCATTGATCCTCAGGTTTATTTCTTTGCTAGTCCCATGCTGATTTTATCACAGTAGCTTTGTAGTATAGTTCAAGTCAGGAATTGAGATGCCTCCTGTCTTGCCTTTGTTGCCCAGAATCACCTTTGCTATTCTAAGTTTCTTCTGTTTCCAAATGAATTTTAGGAGTGTTTTCTCTAAATATGTAAGGTATGGTATTTTGATTGAGATTTCATTAAATCTGTATAACAGATTTGGGAGTATGGCCATTTTCACAATGTTGGTTCTTCCTAACCAAGAGCAAGGGATATCCTTCCACTTTTTAATACCTCTTTAGTCTCCTTTTTTAAAGTAGTATAATGTTCAGCATATAGGACTTTCACATTCTTGATTAGATTGATTCCTA